GATTATTTTATTATTTGAAAATCCTAACCGAACATTTTTGTCTATCTATAATAATTCAGACTTTGCACTGCTGTAATTATTTACATATTTCTCAATGTTTGGATACCATTTTCTACGAACAGGTATGAATTATACTTTGCGTTCGCTTGTATTTGGGCGTTCGGATCAGCGACTTTTCAAGATCAATTGATCGATTGGCGAAATGAGTTTAATAAGTGGTGGCAAAACGAATTTAAAAGTATTAAGTTTCCTGCTGGCAGCAATGTATTCAATTTTTTCATCGAAAATGAAACAAGAAAATTAGTTCCATGGACTGAGAAAATACGACCCTTTGAACTGAATTCTGATATACCTCTTCAAGTTCGTTTAAATTATTCTTTCACTTAAAAATGACACTTTAAATTTTAAACAGTTGCGAATCTTCAAAATCTTCAAGCCCTTGCAGGAAATTATCTCTAAAAAAAACTGATATACAAATATTTTTTTGCAACGTAGTTATGTTAACTAATTGTAAATGTGAACAAAAAAATTTTATTTAACGTTTCACTTATTTTTACGTGTATAATCATTTCTTAATTGATAATACTAGACTATGCAAGCAAGATTATTTTGTCCACTTTCTCTAAAAAATTTTTAATATTTTCTTTTCATCGTATTCATTACCATCATTGTATTTTGTTACAATTCTTAGTTTAGTATTTAAAATAATAAATGATTTTTATCTTGTATATATTTGTAATATTTTTATATTTCGTGGCCTTTCTGCAGAACTATTAAACTTTCATAAACAATTTCGCAGTCCACTTTAGTGTCAACTGGAGAAACTGCACGTCTACACTTTTTCCTGGACGTTTTCATACAACAACGTGTACCAGTAATGCTAATAGGCGCAGCAGGATCAGGAAAAAGCGTAATCATTGCCGAGAAGCTTTCATCCCTTCCCGACACTTATAATATTGCCAGTGTGCCTCTTAATTATTATACTACATCTGGTAATAAAATTTTAATTATTCTTATTGATGTGTGATGATTATAATTATATATTTTGAGCGAACTATATTATTACTAATAGTCTATACTCTAGTAACTATATTATTACTAATTGATTCATTAAATTCAAATCTCAGACAAATCTTCAACTCTTTCCTCAAGAAAATTTTCTTCGTAAATTAAAAGTAACTAGTACACATATTTATATTGAGATAAATATTTTATCTATATACCGTTTCGTACACAAAAAAATAAATTCAAAATGCAAATCATATTTTCGTTCAATGTCAAGAAATACAATTGTA